GCTTCTGAAACTCAAAGGCGACCAATTTACACACCACTTAGGCAGCCCCGAAATCATTGTGGCTTCATATTACGGTCACCTCTCAATGGTGAAATTGCTTGTTGAACATGGTGCTGATGTAAATGCGAAGGGTGGAGAATACCACACTGCATTGCAAGCGGCAGCATCTAGTGGACAGTTGGATATTGCCAAGTGGCTCCTAGAGCATGGTGCTGACATCAATGCACAGGGTGGGCGAGATGGCAATGCAGTCCAGGCTGCATCATACTATGGGTATGAAAGCATTGTGCAGTTGCTGCTACAACACGGAGCCGATGTGAGGGTGCATGATGAATTTCATTATGGAGGTGTATTGCAAGTTGCTTCAGCTGGTGGGCATATAAAGATTGTTGAGTTACTCCTTGACTATGGTTTCAATGTGAATACACAAGATAGACTATATGGCAGTGCATTGCATGCTGCATCATCTGCGATGTATATTTCTGGGCACACTGATATTGTGCGGGTGCTTCTTGACCATGGGGCTGACGTGAATGCAACGGGTGGGCCATATGGCACCCCATTACAGGTAGCATCAGCTAATGGACACTTTGACATAATACAGTTGCTCATTGACTATGGTGCTGATGTGAATGCAGATGCTGGCCTATATGGCAGTGCTTTACATGTGGCATTTGGCAAAGGGCAGTTTGATGTTTCAAGGATGCTTGTTGGGCATGGTGCCAATGTTCAGGCTGAGCCATACAGTATATTGCATGCAGCATTCTCGGAGGGGAACTTTGACATTTTCGAGTTACTCGTTGAGAGCGGGGCTGATGTCAATGTGCAGGTTGAAGACTATGGCACATGCTTGCGGATGGCATGCATAAATGGAAACTCTAAAATTGCCAAGTTGCTTATCAAGTATGGTGCTGATATGAAGGCAGAGACTGGGTCACAGACTAGTCTACTGCATGAAACATTCACAAGAAATCACATGGACATTTTTGAATTGCTTCTTAAGCATGGGGCTGATGTGAATGTGCAGGATAAAGACTATGGCACATGCTTGCGGATTGCCTGCCTGCACAGGGACTTTGAGATGGTTCAGTTACTCATTGAGCATGGTGCCAATGTGAACGTTGATACTGCGCAATATGGCAGTCTACTGCATGAGGTGTTCTTAAGATGGCAGTATCTCCCGCAGCAACTCCCTATATTCACGTTGCTTGTTGAGCATGGAGCTGATGTGAATGTGCAGCATGCAGAGTATGGCACAATCTTGGCAACAGTTTCTGTGTGTGGGAACATTGAAATGACCAAGTTACTCATTGAGCACAGTGTTAATGTGAATGCGGACACTGGGCATGGCAGTCTATTGCATGCAATACTCTCGCGAGGACACCTTGACATTTTCAAGTTACTCATTGAACATGGGGCTGATGCAAATATGCAGAACGAATGGCATAGCACATGCTTGCAGATAGTCTGTATGCAAGGAGACCTTGAAATTGCTAAACTGCTCATTGAGCATGGGGCTGATGTAAATGCAGACACTGTGCAACATCGCAGTCTATTGCATTCAGTGTTGTTAAAAAGGCACTATGCCATTTTCAAACTCCTTGTTGCCCACGGGGCCAATGTGAATGTACAACATGGAGGCCAAGGTACATGCTTGCATGTCGCCGCTGCACAGGGGAACCGTGACATTGCGCAATTCCTCATCAATCATGGCGCCGATGTAAATGCCAAGGGTGGACCGTACAATTATGCCTTACACGCAGCGTCTATTCATGGTTATATGACCATTGCTTGCTTGCTTCTTGAGCACGGTGCCCGCAATATTACGAACAGGAAGCCTTTTGGAGATACATCAGATGTGGCATCAGACAAAGACGCATCAGATGTAGCATCGGATAAAGAAGACGCCGACATTGTTCAGTCGCCTCCGGACCACGGCGACGACGTGATTCATAATGTGCCAGCAGAGCCCGACGTGCGAACTGTGGTTTCGACTTCGGAATCCCCACCCAACAGCCAAAACCGAGGCCTGAAACTAGACTTGCCTTGGCACTGGGTTCGGCCTTGGGTTACTGTTTTCTTTTGGCAAGTACAGGCAGCAAGAGGAGATTGAAGAAAGGACATAGTAATTACAAATTGTACTTTTTGTATTCAATGAAAAAGATTTCCCTTCGAAAGCGAATATAGGATCGTACATTTCAATATCTCAAAGGTAGGAGGTGCGTACTAACTCCGGGGATATCTGTATTAAGAAAGAATGGACCGCTCCTCCGACACGGCGAGAACCGGTCTTGCATTTTTCGCCCAGTTTTTTTTCTCAAATCTGGCGGATATCAAGTCCGAGAGACGACGAAGCGGACAAGTCCATTTACTGACAATGAAGGTAAGGTCCTCGTTCTATTCGTGCGGCGAGAGTTATTTTTCCAGCAGTAACACGTCCATTCGTTCGAGCCAAAGCAGAAATACACCATCCATACATGTATGTATCGCTATCTAACAAAGTAAATATCGATATCGAGGGAAACGAGAGAGAGATAAGAAAAAGGACTTCCAAACGTAAGAAACGTTATGTTTTCGCCAGCCACACACAAACGCGCATCCGCATTCGCACTGGCCCGCCGACCCACGGCTCAATACCGCCGATCATCATACCCGCCCCGTCCGCCCCTCCCTCCCCCACCACCGCCCCCACCCCCACGCTCCCCCCGGTCCTTCTCATAGTCCCTCCCCCCGCCACCACCGCCACCACCGCGGTAGTCATCCCTCCCTCCCCCGCCCCCGCCGCCGCGCTCATAATCATCCCTCCCCCCTCCATCCCTCCCCCCTCCATCCCTCCCACCCCCGCCCCGGCCCCCACGGTACTCGTCCCTCCCCCCACCGCCGCCCCCACGATAGTCGTCTCTCCCGCCGCGGCCGCCGCCGCCCCGCCCACCACGGTCGTCCCAGTCCCCCCCGCCGCCACCGCCGCGGGAGTAGCGCGAGTCGTAGGGACGCGGGTCGTATGGTCTTTCGTCTGCTGGGGATGTCAGTATGGGGTAAGGGAGGATGGACGAGTGAATTTTAAGGGAAAAGTGCAGGGGACGTTATCCCCAAAAGGGAATAAATTGGGAATCGGAGCACGTATTGCGCTGACGCTCCAGAGACGACGACGACGAGCGAGATGTGTCGTCACGCACTTCGCCCCCGCCGTCGTGGCCAAAGGGACCACGTAAACTCGCTCGCCCACAGATTCTTCGATAGCATTACGCTCACGAATCCCAGCAAAACCACCAGGAAAAATGACGAAAAACATGGACTCACCATCCCCCCTCTTCGGCGGCCCATAGTACCGCCCCGGAGTCGGCGTGCGCGCCCTTCCGCGACGTGCCTGTAGCGCAAACGTGATTAGTAAACGTCGAGAGATAAAAAGTACATAAAAGCTTGAAGATGAAAGAGGGGCATACCTTCTCGACATTAATCGACTTTCCGCCCAAGTCCGTGCCCTGCAGCGCCGCGACCGCCGCATCCGCCTCTTCCGGGGTCTCCATCTGCGAGGTGCGTTAGCTTAATTCATCATGCAAAAATCGAGAGCGGAAGGGAAGGGAACGAGGGAACGAAACGTGGAACGGAACGGGAATGGATAGAAAAAGAGGGGATATGGAAGGGAAGGAAGAAAAGCACGCACCGTAACAAACCCAAACCCGCGGCTCTCGCGCGTATGCGGGTCATACATCACCGACGCCTTCTTGACGCGCCCGATCTGCGCAAACGCCGCCTCCAGGTCGCGCGTGTCGATCTTGCGCCCGAGGTTCGAGACGTGCAGGTTGTTGCCGGGGTTGTGCCTGGCGGGCGGGGCGTTAGTCAGATGTCATACGAAAGCTACTGAGAGAAAGTGGAGAGTAAGGACAAAGAACGCACCCCTTCTCCCCATCACGCGCCGGGCCCGGACTCCGACTGCGTCCCCTCCCTCCTCCGCCTCGTCCTCCACCCCCACCCCCGCCCCCGCCGCCGTTCTCGCGGTCCCGGTCCCGATCATGCTCCCGATCACGCTCGCGGTCCGCATCGCCCGCCCCGTTGCTCCACGCGTCGCCCGAGGCAGGCCCGCCTGCGCCGGGGTCGGTGGGGATGCTGATTCCGCCCGCGGGCGCGATTTTGTCTTGGGATTGCCAGACTGTGGGTGGGGGGTGTGAGTATGGTGATGTGGTGAGACGGGTGAGGTGAGGTGAGGCGGAAGGTGACGACGATGAGCGAGAGTGAGAGTGAGAGTGAGGTGGTTGGTACATCGGTGTCTGTATGTACAGCGAGAACGCAGGGAGACGACGGTCGGTGACCCCCGCGCCAGGGATCAAAGGCAAAACACGCATAGGTGTCTCGCTCGTCGACGCTGAATCCCCACAGGGCGAAAACGGCGTAAATCGAGTCGAAAGAACGGAGAAATCGAGTCGAAATAACAGAGACGAGTCCACCGAATCGAAGTCAAGGCGCAAAAACAGCGTCTCGAGAACCGTCGACGCTGAATCCTCCCAGGACGACAAATCAAGTCGGTAGGACCCTGGAAAGCCCAAACAGCACCGGCATTCGAGTCGAATCGATATCGAGCCGAAAAGAAACCGCCCCGAATCGAAATGCGAAAAAATCGAAAAATCGAGTCGAAAAAATCGGAGCGTGGTGTGCGGTAATTACTGAGGTACTGATACTGATACTCGAGGCGAGGGCTGAGATGCGGGTTCGGAGCGCGTACCGTCGTCCATTGGGCCGCTGCTTGTGTTTTGCTGTTGGTGGTCGTCCAGGAAGTGCATGCGCTGGCAGATGTCCTTTGTTTGTTTCCCACGCTGCGACACACGTGAAACACAGCCCTGCGGCGATACAGGGAATGTTCAGTTCTGAATCCAAAACTAGTCTCTTACGGACAATGCGAGCGAAGAGCAAAGTTTTTTTGAAAACAAAGGAAAAGGAAAAGACCAAGTCAAATATGTAGTGATGTAAAATTACAGAAGCAAAACTAAATTCGTCGTCAACTATTCCGACACTGGGATTCGAACCCCGAGCCCGCGCGATGAAGGCACGCGTGTTACCCATTACACCATGTCAGACAGGTGTAAAGCGGCCCAAGTTCAGTACCCAGCTACGTAGATGGACGTAAGTTCAAAGTCTCGTGACTCTCGTCACTCAGAACGAAAATCCCGTCCTTGGATAGTTTGTGAGTGGACCTATTGCTAGGGCATTTTCCAGTTAGGAAACTTGAATCAAACTCAACCATCCTATGAATTAGTGAGGGAGAGAGATTGCCAAGAATCATCAGTCAAAATTTCATAAACTCTTCCCAAAAAGTATTCTGTATCAACAGACAGTATTATAGCACCAGAAATTTGGAGACTCCATACTATCCCTCCTAGATCTCGGACACCCAAGGAAAATCACCGAGTAGCATTTGTTTTGTTTGTAAAGAGCGAAGTAAACACACCATCAGAAATCCGTCTTTTACCTCCAGTTCAGATTTTATTTCATAAGAAACGGGTAAGAATTGCTCAAACGGCGTCGTTTTGTTGGACGCGTCCGAGTAGGAGGTAACACATGAGGTTTGGATTGCCGACCCGCTCGTGGTCGAGGCGCCTCCAAATTTTATGTAGCGGAGCTCCTCGATGAGGGGTGTGATATCCATGAGGAAGAGGCTAGGACATGCCCCGGATGGTCAACAGGCAGCATGAACTTTCCTCAGCCTGACATCATTTTCGTCAGTTGAGATCTCAATTTGGCCGACATCTCTTCATCTTTCGGGTGATTGATTGTGATGGCAAGAAGACAGCTATGGCTCTTAAATTTTACATGGACACTCTTACGATGACAACGTATCTTTTAGTTTTAGATGTGCTCAGAAGATAGTATGACCCTGGGGCATTGAACTAGGTTGAAATGCGCGAAAATGACCCAAGTTGTCAACTTTCGGCGGCGATATTTATTCGAAGGATGCAATATGTTGTGCTGTATCTCTTTAGGATACTTCATACCGCTTATGTGAAGCCAAAGCCACAGACAACGGTGCAATATTGAACGAGAAGGGGGTGATAGTCCGTGCGCTGCCCAGAATTTCAATAGCTCAAAATCCAACCAACAACTACGCGTACAAATACCTCCTCCAATCAATCTAAAGACACTAAAGCCCAAGCTTGATGGTCGCTTCCCGTTAACGGTTCCAAAGTGACCTAATAACCACGATGAGTCGAATCCATTCCATTCCACTTTTAGTATCCCAACTTACCGCGGCGGGGCTGCTCGGGTCCTCCACCTGCGCGGCCGTGAGCGCAACCCCAAGGACATTGTCCACCAAGCTGAATCAAATAAATCAGCAGCGGTGCAAAATCCGAAGCCAGACAGACAGACATACTTGGCAGTTCCGTCCCTGAGACAAGTAACATTAAACGCGATGCCTGTGTTGGTCGATCCAACGAGTTCCCCGTTCGTCTCGGACAAGACGATAGCCTGGCCCGCCGCCTGGCCCAGGGCCGATGCTAGAACAAAGCCACCGTGGTTCACCAGCGCCAAAACCCACTGCACAAATGTTGCCATCAGAGTTGAATGAAACACGTTATATATGGGGACGGGTCAAACCAGCTGGTTAGGCGGAATAGGGATCTCGAACGACTGGGTAACGATGGGGCCCAAGGTGCTGGTGAGGTCGAGCGCGAGGCCTTGGAAATCGAGGAGCGCGTAGCCCGAGTTGCCGGAGGGGATGCAGGAGAGAGACATTGTGCGTTGGAGAACTTCTTTGGCTAGGACAGTTCATTCCGTGCGCCTTTTATATGTTACTGTAGAGGTGCGTAGTCTTCCCTGCCGGCATCTACGCAGCGTAGAGGTCGGCAGGGACGTTCCGCGTTCAGTGGAGCCACGGAAGAAGAGCTCGGCACCCGGCCCTACGTCCGACCGGCGACATCGGAGACTGAACTGCAGAAGATTGTGAACGGCCGTTCATGAAATTGTCAAACTGCATTCCTCAGCTGGATTGCATCCATATTTCACGGGCAGCGGTCTCTTCGCAGAGAGTTCCCGTATGTCACGGAATGACGGCTTCCAGAGTATTTAGATACGAGGAAATTGCGCGCGGAATTAATAGTGTGGTACTCTCAAGTGCTACCTGCTTTGAAGTAGCGAGTTGACAAGTTCATGACTGAATACACCATGAAATAATACACGACACCTTCAATCCGCCAGTTCATCCTTTCCAAACGGGCCTCCGAGCCCTCCAGTATGGACACTCGCAAAGCCTCTCCACCGAAGCGCCGGGCAGTCTTCCGTTATCCATAATCAAGAGCTCGACAGAGCTCAGACGACAGAGGCTCCCATCGCAGGCACGCGCCAGATGCGACGAAGGTGGGCACACTTGAGACAGCGAAAAGAGCTGGGATTGTTCATTTGACATTGGGACCAAAGATCATAATGGAATTGTGGGTATCACGTTGTAGAGAGCGGATAAAGGAATTAGGTCGAAAGCGGGAAGAAGGCGAAAGAAGAGTGACAGAATGACTGTTGTTTGGCGCTGTGAAGTGCCGGCATGCCGAAGGGAGAGTGGCGGTGTCCCGCTCACAAGCCGGAAAAATAATTTCATGCCACGGAGCTCCATTATACATGATTAGTAAGTCATTTGTTGCATTGGAAGCCATTTTGAACAGGAGAGGCCATTGTAGGAATATCTTAGCCTGATTCAGGGTGTTTGCAACTTGAAGGTGTTCTCATCGAAATCATCCTATTTGCTGGAGTAAAAATAACTGCATCTTAAGTAGAGAATTTCATCTATAGCCTTCCCAGGTGCTTTGGACTCTACATCACGAAACCCATCCCCAAGATAACACGAAGAATACGTCGAGACGCGTCTCGTCAAGTACTTGTTTGCGTGCGTTCGTGATCGCTACATAATAACGCAGGGTGCCAGTGACGGGTCACTGACCGCGGTGCTAACCAACGGACTAGTACTAACTAAAGACCAAACTTGCTCCTCGCTTCCCGTAAATGTTTCCAACGTGACCTGTAACACGATGAGTCGGGTTCATTCCATTCCACGTTATCCGAACTTACCGGGGCGCTGCTGGTCGGGTCCTCCACCTGCGACGCTGTAAGTGCAACCCCAAGGACATCTTCAACCAAGCTGATTTTTGTTTTTAAAATTAGCAGTGGTACGAAGTCCGCAGCAAGAGCCTCATACTTCACGGAACCGTTCGGGAGGCATGTAACGTTGAACGCGATGCCTGTGTTGGTTGCTCCAACGACTTCCCCGTTCGGCTCCTCGGACAGGACGATAGCCTGGCCCGCCGCCTGGCTTAGGCCCGACGCTAGAACAAGGCCATCATGGTTGACCAGCACCAACTCCCACTGCACAAACAATTGTCAGAGTTGAATGAAACGCGCTAATGATATATGGGTCAAACCAGCTGGTTAGGCGGAGCAGGGGTGTCGAGCGACTGGGTAACGACGGGGCCGAAGGTGCTGGTGAGGTCGAGGGCGAAGCCTTGGAAATCGAGGATCGTGAAGCCTGAGTTGCCGGGGGGGATGCATGAGAGAGACATTATTGTGCGTTGGAGAACTTTGGCCAAGATGGTTTATTCCGTGCGCCTTTTATATGTGGAGGTGCGTAGAGGTCGGGAGGGATGTTCCGCGTTCAGTGGAGCCCTGGAAGAAGAGTTCGGTACCTGGGCCCTACGTCCGACATCGGAGACTGAACTGCGGAAGATTGAAAACGGCCGCTCATGAAGTGAATTAGAAAGTTGTCATGAAAGGTTCCCGTATGTCACGGAATGACGACTTCCAAATTTACATATGAGGAATATTTCTCAATTGTGCGCGGAATTAATGGTGTGGGTGTGGTACTCTCGTGCTACCTGTTTTAGAGTGGCGCGTTGCGCGATAATTTACCTAGTACAAGTTCATGACCGGCTGCATATGCACAAACATGGAATACAAGATACCTTCAGGGCCGCCAGTTCATCATTTCCAAGTGCGCTTCCGAGCCCAGCAGTATGGACACCCGCAAACCTTCGGCCTTCATCCCATCAAGTCTCTCCATCGAAGCGCTGGGCAGTCTTCCATTATCCACTGCCAAGACCTCCACCGAGCTCAGACGACAGAGGCTCCCATCCGCAGGCACGCGCCAGCGCGACTCGACCATACTAACGAACAGCCCATAATCGAGCATCGTACGATCGACTCCGAGTGAGATGGTGTGCACGTTGGGTCCGATACCCGTGTACGTATCCGCACCGGTACGCCGCACGGTGAGCTCTGAAAAGACGTCGTTGGCCTCGCTGAAGAGATGCAGGCCGAGTGTCTGTATGGTCGGACACGCCTCGAGAATCCGGGAAATGTGGCGGGATGTGCACCACGCCAGGCGCAGTGTCGTTAGTCTGATGGTGGGGCAGCGTTTCACAAGGGAGAGGAAGGGAGTGGGGTCGGTGTCGACCATGTAGATCTCCTCCACCGCGGGAAGCTCCAGATGATTCAAAAAAGGCTGGGAGCTGGTGTAGAGACGACGTAGACGAGGTAGGACGAGATAAAGCTCAGAGTCGGAATAATCGCCAACAAAGTTTAGACTCGCCACCTCTAGGTTTGGGGCGGTCGGCAACAGGGCTGTGATGGCGTCTTGGGTGTCGGTCACCGTGAGGCGGGTGAGCTGCTGAAATGGAAGTATGATGGAATGGGGGAGCCCAGACATGTCCTCGAGGATTACATCACGCAGTGCGGGAGCAACCTCGAAAGGATCGCTAAGTTCTTCGGACACGGTGGCCGCAGCTGGATTCTGGTAAAATCCTTCAAAGTCGGAAACGTCGATGCGCAAGTGACGGAGGAGCGGGATACGCCCCTGCAGAGGGGCGAGCAGATCCCAGTCCGTTGGATTTATGGCTATGCTCGCACTGATCCAGCGATCACCGTACCCGACCATGGTTTGGAGGAGCTCCTTGACGCGGGGGTTCCTCCGACCCACATTTGGAGCCCAAAATCGGAATTTGAGGGCCGAGTTGGACGCTCGAGCAAGGAGGGCTTGCAGTTTTTCGACTGGGTAGTCGTTTGGTTTCATGATAACGATGTCGGACCAGAAGTCGGGCGA